GGAATTTGGCACATAGAAATGGAAAGTTCACAATTGGAAACCTGAAACCATCTTTTTTATAGTAAACCGACCCTTGTTTGTTAATTTCCTAGATGTAAGTCAAGATATGAGGCATACTTTACTGTATCTGTTGTATCCTTTATCTCAAGTTAGATTGGATAGATGCGTTCAACATGGTCACCAAATTTTGAATTATTTAGTGAGAGAATATCATCTATATAGCGGAAAGTAAAGTTAAAGGATACTGCTTACTTCTTTTCTTTCTTTCTAAGAAGTTCTTGTATGAAGTCAGCCTCATATGAATAAAGGAACAAATCGACATGAAGAGGGGCCTAGTTTTTTCCCATGAGAATGCCGATTGTTTGTTGAAAAACACGCCCTCCAAACGTAACAAATATGTTGTCAATCAAGAAATCCAGCATTTTGTTAATGTCATTTGCATCAAAAAAATTGTTTGAATCAGAGTGATTTTTTACAAAGTAGGATTTATCCTTATGTAGAAAATATTGTAAACTGGTTTTATAGCTAGCTAAAACTCTTACTTTCATAACAGTCGTATAAAATTCCATTATATTGACAACAATGTGTGAACAAAACAAAGGTACAGATCTGAGAGTACTCACAGTTACTGACAGCTATTTCAAAGCCAATTAATGGAAAAAAAATCATGTATCTAAAACTAAAATATCAATCAGTACATACCAGTGTAAAATCGACATTAAAAGTCAGAAAAAAAACATGAACTTGTGTAATGCAAAAATATAGGTATCTACTAATGTAGTACCGTGAAAGTACATATGTGTATAACAATAATATTTAGTATGGTTTTAATTTACTGATAACAAAATCAATATTTATATCAATAAAAACAGTATTCAAAGTTTTAATTACAGTGTTGAATTGAGTAGAATGAGTTTATTTAAAAGATTGATCAGTACATTTCCAAATCTTGTATCTATGGAATAATTTAGTGAAGGTATTAAGTAATTTCTGGTAACGAAATCCCTGACTCAATCATTTACTAGTAATACAGATATTTGGCGTTTTTTTTTGTTGCAGTTCAGTGTTTCTGTTGTTCCTTTGTTTTCCTCTTGTATTTGATGTCTTTCACTCGGTTTTGGTTTGAGACCCGGATTTGTTTTCGCTTAATCGATTTATGACTATTGAACAGCGATATACTCAGGAATATGACAGTTGTTATCCATTCGTTTGATGTGTTTGAGCTTTTGATTTTGCCATTTGTTTAGGGATTTTCCTTTTTGAATTTTCAGACTCATATGAATAAAGGGACAAGTCGACAAGAAGTGGAGCACAGCTGGTTCCATGCGAATACAGATTATTTGTTGCAAAACACGTCCTCCAAACGTAACAAATATCTTGTCAATCAATAAACATGCCGTAACTTTTCTCCTTGACAACATTTATGTACGTTTCGGCAATAAAGTTATGAAGCACAGTTTATTGCCAAACTCAGTAAAAAAATATGTCTAAATTTCATTTAATTGATATAATCAACAACACTTACCGTTATCTTGATGATATTTTTTCGTTAAATAATCAAGAATTACTTTAAATTAATCAAATATTAACATCAATAACTGTCATTTCTTAAATTTAGATATTTCAGTGTTACATTAGAAACTCTTCACAAATTGTACTAAAGAGATGATTTTTCTTTCCCAATTTTTTTAGAGCGGTGATGATCCCTTTTGTCGTACATTTTTGTACAGAGTTTCTAGTGTAACACTGAAATATCTAAATCTAAAAAAATACAGTTATTGCTGTTAATATTTGATTAATTTTGGTCATAACTGTTTTTCATAACAGTATAGGAACAAGTCTGCTATTAAAGGGGCACAATTTGTGCCCATAGGAATACCTTCAACCTGTCCATAAACGTTATTGCCGAAACGTACATAAATGTTGTCCAGAAAAAAATTTACTTTCAAAAAGTTGTTTTCAAGAACTCAGCAAAACAGACTAAAAGACGTTTTTATTTCATATTTGAATGTTCCAAAATCAATCAAAGTCTTATACATGTACATGTATACATGCATAAGGTCGTTTTCGATCCGGCGCAGCTGATATGTTGTCAATCAAACATGACATTGGTGGGGTTCGTGTTTCTCAGTCTTTAGTTTTCTATGTTGTGTTTTGTATACTGTTGTTTCTCTGTTAGATTTGTTTTAAATTGCCATGGCATTGTCAGTTCATTTTCGACTTATGAGTTTGAATGTCCCTTTGGTATCTTTTGCCTCTCTTTTACAGAGTTGAAAATATTAGAGGAATTTATGATCCTTATGACAGGCAAATTATTAAAGTACATGGTTTTTTTTTTCTTCCATATGATCTATTATCTAGCTGTGTGGTCGGCAGGGACATCTAATAAAAAAAGATTTTAATTTAAAGACAATTCGGAAGTGATATAGCATTGTGTTGGAAATGTATGATATCAGGATTATTTAACCTTTTTTTTGTGTTTCATAGGCTTCTTGAAGTATTTAGATTTATCAGCTATTGTTTATATTATCGACATATCTGATTTAAACTATATTACTGATAGTCAATTTATTTCAACAATGTTATTTGACTTTAGTCCAAAACTAAATATATGTTGAAATTAATCTCAACATTAAAATCCGGAAAGTATGGTGATTACCCGCTATCAAACTTGTATACACAAAATCTCTGTGTTAGACGTTTATAGGTAAAAAAAAATAACCTGATATTTAGATATGAAAAGATAAGATTAGTACCAACATTATATATCAACTCATTTATGTCATCTTGCAGACAAAAATCAACTATTCACCGAAATATTATCTAGCGTAAAGGAAAAGGTATGAGATCATTGAACATGTAAAGATTTACCATGCATCTAGTAGGAAACTACTTTTGATCCTGTCAAGGAAAGATAATTCCTATTACAAGAAATTGTGATTGACCCCCTCTACGAATTGCCGAAAACAACCCTTTGACGAAAGAATAGTTTTAACTTATTAATCTTTCTATTGCTCATTTCTTACGCATCTGGTATATACACATTTGTAAAGTTAAATATATTTATGAACAAACAAGTTTTACAATCAAAATAATTGATTGAAATATCAGTCCCAATTATATATGCCATCCTTGCAGTACTTCGATAATTTTGACTGAAACATATACACAAGCTGAAATGTATTTTCTTCATATAGCATTGCATATCTTTCATCTAGATAGACATTCGTTTAGACAAAAAAAAATTGGAAGGATTAAAACATGAATACAGACAATGGCGTAATGAAAATATTTTTGAGAAACGTCGAGAAACTTTGATTTAAAATCAAATATGGACATTGTTGAATCTATAAAAAAAAGTATTAACAAACATACCGAATTTCTAGACAATTCATAAAGGGGGAAGTCCATAAAACCAAACTCTTGACCGTATAACAAACGGAACAAAAGAAAGCAAATATCATATTCCTGAATTGATACATATATTTTCAGAAAAAAACGTTGGCTTAAACCTGGTTTTATAGTTCGCTTCTTATTTGACAGCTACTTATATCTCCGTTATATTGATAAAATTGTGTGAGCAACTCTAACAGACATTATTGTTTAATGTGACAAATATTTAGATCCAGTAGCCAGAATTATGTAAACATACATGATTGATATACAACACAACTGATTAAAAAAAAACAAAATTCTGACAAAGACATCAACAACCTCCGGGGGAGGTGGTCACTTCGATTCTTTTGTGGTAGCGTTAGAAGCTGGAACAACCTCTCTACATATATTTTGATAACAAAAAAACACAGCTTATCATATAATTTGTTTGGCCGCATAAAACCCTTATTGATCACTTGGCTATTTCCAAAGATAAAATTTATCAAAATTGAAAACTGTCTGGTTTAGTTTGTACCATTCATGGAGACAATATTAGTGAACATTTATAGTATTTTGTTTTGTTATTGGTGTCAATCTTAGATCGTAAGAGGCCGAGTTCAGGCTTGAATTAAATACATTTTGTATTCTCTTGTGTAAAGAATTGTTGACCTTCTTGCCAATTCATGCAGCAAACCGACCAATAATGGTTCATTTTATTGCTTCTACCTTTTTTGTATTAAATGTATCTAATTGTTTATATGTGAAAACTATTTTTCGAAATGAAAACTCCAAAGGGACAAAATTTAGCTTTTTATAGATGAAAACAGGCAACAAAGGCAACTTTACAGCTGATACTGCACTGAAAATATAATATACTTAAGTATGGAATGGGGATTAGTATGAAAAATTATCATGATCATAATTTTGTGCTTTTTTTGTAATATGTAAACAAAATGAATACAAATTGAATGGTACAGTCATTACTATCTGTTTGAAAGTTACTTTTTTTTAATAAAATGAGATCCTTCAGCAGCACCTGAGATCAACCCCAATGTTTTGTGGGTTCGTGTTGCTCAGTCTTTAGTTTTCTATGTTATGTTTTGTTCTTTTTTAGCCATTTCGTTGTCAGTTTGTAAACATAATTGGATAAGAGAGGTTTCTCATGATTTTTTTGGAAGAAATACTGAAAGTGAGCCATCATGTAGGGGTTGGGACATAAAGTTATCCATGTTTCTATAGGTAATTGGGACTTACAAGTATTCCTTATATCATATAATTTCGCAATTCTCAGTATTGCAAAAGAATTTTTTCATATCTTTTTGTCACAGTATTTCATTTTTTTTCTTAACATTCGGTTAGCTTTTTGTGTACCCAAGGTACCTGTTCTTGATTTTAACCGTTTTTCCTGTACTGAAGATAGCAAGGAAAATTAAAATCGATTAACTTTCGATTTTGCACTATGTTCAATCTTTTGATAAGTACATTTTTTATTATCACCAGGCATTCGTATATTTCACCGTTATTGTTCTGTTTATTACAATATAAAACAATAAAAAATCTGCAGACATTTGCTATCTCATATATCATTTATGATGGCATAAACGATGATTCTAAGGCCAAAACAATTGTTTGTGGAAAATTGTACTTTATTCTAATATCAAGTAATAACACAGAACTAAGTTATCCAATAACAAGTGCGTTTGAAAACATTAAATAATTTTTCTTTTGCTAAAGATTGTTTCAAAAACTACGACTATACCAACTGTTGCTGAAAATTTGTATAAACGCACATCTTTTTGGAGAACGGGCGGACATGCAGAAAAATATTTATTAAGAAACATGCTTATAACGATTAAGCAATAGGGAAATAAAAAATAGCTAAGAGTAATCTTATTCTTTATAAATATACCAAGTTTTCTCACATAGGCAAATTTATATTTTCTGAAACCATATTATATACATATTTTGCATTTAAAAGCTACAAACCATAACATCTCAAAAAAAGTTTGTAGTAAAGTTATACGCGAATCTCTAAAAATGAGCAGTTCACGATATAGCATTCCTTTTTTTTCAAATGGAAAGCATGATTGTTCATTTAAAGAATAACACAGTCTTCATCGGATTCAACTTCTCTACTATAATCGTATTCTGGATACAGTTCACGGCCACATTCATTACATGGTGGGCCATTATCTGGTCCACAAACTCCATCATGTTCCAAACTTCTTCCATTTTTATCATACTTTTTTGGAGTTGTAAACTTTTTTCCGCAGTAAAATAACCCACTCCATCCCTGCCATTTACCTTTATCGTGCATTCTTTGACATTTCATCTTTGTCCGATCTATTAGTACTCTGCATGCCGGGCAGTTAGCCCAGTTATCCGGCCCACATCGTCCGTCTGTGCCGGTAGGAGTAATTTGCTGATTACCAGTCATTACACTCCGTCCACAATATAAAATATCTGTAATAGGTCCAATCTTTGGATTATAGTCATTACCTTTGCATGGTCGGAACACCATATTGAGAGCAACTTTATCCAATTCACTCATCTGTTTATTTGGGGTAGTTCCAGATTTCAGTCTCCAGACTATATCCCCATTTTCCAGTCGCTCCATATCCTCGTCCTCAGGGTACATCATAACACTAAATGGATCGAATCTTGTCAAACCACGTATTCTCTGGTGATCGCCTTTGTCTTTGTATTGGTAATCGTCGGTGTTTATATTGACATACTTTTCGGCATCTTTACGTTTGAACTCGTGCTGAAACCCCAATGCATGAAGTAATTCGTGTATGGTAGTTTGTTCTTTCCAGTTATCACTCCAATCTGTGTCTAAATGAACATAAGCACCGTCTGGTCCTTTAAAGATGCCTTGGGTGTAGCATCCTTTTCCTTTCCCCTCACCTATTGTTATTTTGGCATGGCTAGCATCGGTTTCGTAAAGGTGTATACCCGGTGCTGCAATGTTAATATCTTTTATAGTTTTGGTTATATGTCCATGATATGTCGATACTGAATTGTTAACATATACACCTATATGGCATTGATCTTCTGTGTTCCCTAATTCACGACATGTTTGTATTTCATAAAAGCATTTGGCCCTATATACAGGGTCGCTTGAACGTAGAGCTTTTTCATATGATGTTTCCAGACTTGTGGCCAACTCCTGGTCAACATCATAAGCACTAATAGCACTGAGGGAAATTGCATGTTGATCTATCTCCTTCTCCATTCTTATACTTTAATGAACTAAACGAATAGAAATATAGATATAAGAAGATGTGGTATGAGTGCCAATGAGACAACTCTCCATCCAAGTCAAAATTTATAAAAGTAAACCATTATAGGTCACAGTGTATATATACTTGTACTAGTAACTTACTGCAACACCTTACATCTCACAGGAATTTTGTAATTCCTGGAAAAATCACGTAATCGTATGAAACACGCAGTTCGATTCCTTTATTGCTCTATATAATTACATAAAATACATGTTTCATTAGAATCCGCAATTTGAGGGATAAACAACAATCACGAGGCCGTCAAAATAATTTTTTTCCAATTACATGAGCATTTTAAAAAGTGTTAATGATGCAGATTTTTCAGAAATAACAAAACGAAAGTACAAATTGTTTACCAACGAAGGATGATGTAAAATGTGGGAGATATTTATATCCTATGCTAGTTTGAATAAGTGTGTATAATCAATAACATCATCATTTGATGACTTTCGAGAAATGTAAAACGTGAAAGTAAACCAGATTAAGTAGAAAAGATTATGTTATTGTCCCAGGTTAGTGGGAGGGTTGAATGCTCACAGACATGTTTAACCCCTCCTTATTTTTATGTGTCTGTCCCAAGTCAAGAGCCTGTAAGTCAGTGGTTGTCATTGGTTCATTTTTGTCATAATTGTTTTCGTAAATTGTTTTGTTATAAATTAGGCCATTAGTTTTTCTCAATTGAATTGTATCATATTTTTCATGACTGGGCCTTTTATATCCGACTATACGGTATGTTTTTTTTCCTCATTGTTGAAGGTCTAACGGTTGCCTATAATTGCTTGCATCCACCCCATTTGAACTTTGGTGGATAGTTGTCTCATTGGCAATCATACCACATCTCCTTATTTTTGTATATGTGTTTTGTGAAAATATTAGATGCAAGTACTCACTGGAATATGGGGTTATTGATTAACCGGACATCCTATGAGATTTTTATTGTCCTTTTTTATGTTAATACCAAAAGAGAGAACGATGGATTTTTGAACTTGTAAAATCTTGTCTTTCATGAATGACGTAGAAGAATATGTTGGATTCACAGTTCTAGTGTGAATTCCTAGTTCTTTAGTTAGACATTCCAAATAAACATTTTTGCATTTGAGAATAAAATTGTTGTTGGAGGTTTTGTCTCTGTTTCAACACAAATTAACCTATTACATTGCGCCTTTACTGTTTACAATTAACTTATTCAATAGCTTCAATTATATATCCCTAAAGCTAGGTATTGAATATTTAGGGAGAATTTTTAAAAAGTATGATTGAGTTAGGTACACTCATATACTATTCATTTTCACAAAATCACATGTTTGCCGGAATCCGCTAATTTTTCTCAGTTTTTGTAGATATTCACTTAACCGTGAATGTCCTAGTGAACATTTGTGTTCTTTTTGTGTGCAATACTAAGAACTAGGCAAGCATAGATTAAATTAACTGGGGTTTACATAACAAATTTAATTGGAATTCAAATAGTTTTTAGGTTAAATTGGTTTGTAACTTTTAACTTTTAATTTCCTTTCTTTGTCAAATTTCAGAAAATGCACGTGACCTACAAAACGATACCTGGTATTGGCGTGTCTTCAACTGATCGTTTTTTACTACATCAGTATGATAGCTTTGATTCGTTCTAAAAAATGCATAGCTTGGATTTATCCGGCGCACTAACCCCATTGCCTTGCATAGCCCTCAAATGCATTTATTTGTAATCTGAACTTCTTCTTCTAGTTGTATCACTTGCAACTTTTGCTAAATATCAAAATGTGACTACGATTTTGAATATACAATTTGAAAGAATGCTGCTTACAACTAGAAAAATGCTTCACGAATGATCAAACAAAAATTACTAGTGCAGTGCCTTTCAAAGAGATTACGCGCAAGTTTCAATATTGCAGTGCACTTAATTATTATTTAATCGTTACAGGGGAAAGGTAGGGACTTAATTTTAAAACAATTAAGCTGAAATCAACCAGGATTTATTTTTGTGTTATAGCGATCACTACATAATAAAACTTGCGTTATGATAACTTAAGTGTACTTCGAAATATATTTGTCTCGTAAATTTCTTAATTTCTACACAATAATCTTTGTTCCAGTATTTAATTGATTGATATGTATACGGTAAGTTATGATAGGATCCTTTTACTTATTCATGTATTTTTAAACAATTTAAATAGTGAAATAACGTATTGAAGTCTCTTATAACATGGTATTTCAACTCGAATGGTAAAGTTACCTTTCACAAGAAAAAGGAGTGAAATTGTTTTTATTGAGACCTCAGATTTTAAGAATTCGTTTATTTTTTTAGTACACATACCTGTGTGCAAACATAGTACTACTTAGTTTATCGAAAACCGAAATGATAACTGTTATCATGTTGTTATGTATATGAATTCATTATAAAATACAAAGAGGAATACCGATATAATAAGAAGATCAACAAAGTCGGACGTAATTTCAGTACTGCTCCGAACCTGGCACGAAAATACGGATATTGTTGTATCTTAATTTGCTGTTATGTAATTTCGAAATCATTCTAAATTAAGAAATGTATCTCCCTCATGCATATCTCTGAATCCTTTCCGGATTTGACTTTATTTTTGATCCTTTTTTGTTGTATTAGCTCTTCAATATTTCTATTAAATTTTGGACTTTCAAATATTTTGACCTCGAGACATTAATTTCGAAATGCGCATCCGGTGCAATATCATTGGTACAAATAATGGTATTAACTTAAGCGATGTTATTCTTGCGTCATACTTCTGCCCTATTATAATGATAATCATAATTTGACCAGGTTTTTTAAAATTTTTCTTGAGAAGACATTAGCCACATTCAGTGAAAACCTATGTTATTATTATAATGTGTATATTTATTAATTACATTTTTTCGATCAAAGTGTATGTCTAATGTATTGCACAAAGAAAGCGACCTTCCACAAGTATTGAAACATGAGAAATTTGACAACAAACTTGTACAATTTAATCTTTGAAAGCTGTCATTTTTGTCTTTAAAAGAAATTAGACCGAACACATGTCTAGTTTACCGAAATTTGCATATTTTGAATTTTTTTTTTTTTTCTGAATATAATATCAAACAGTTTTCATTTAATTTTCGGTTCAAGATTTTGCTTTTCTACCCATACTTCTTTAGAGGTCGCTTTATGCCTTATCTTAGCGACAAAAGATATAATTCCAATTTTCCGATTGTGAACAATTCTATTTTGGTGTACCGACATTCTAGTAGATACTGAATATAGATTACTAGTATATATCCAAGATTTGATATGATCTCATTAATTGATTGGTAGATTGTTGTTTACCGCCACTTTTAGCAACATTGTGCTATTTCGTTGCGGTCAGTTTTTATTGGTGGAGGAAGCCGGAGTGCCTGGAGAAAGCCACATGCCTTCGGCAGGAAAACTGACAATCCTTGTCAATTAGGATTGGATTCGAGTGCACCTGTCATGTGCGGGATTAGAACTCAAAACCTCAGTGTTGACCGGCTAGAGATACAGTAGTTAGACTACTTAGACCACTCGGCCACCGAGTCCCTCTAATATGACATGTCAGGGCTCATCTTTCCTATACCGATTTCCTTAGGTATTGGCCCATGGGTTATTGCAAAAAAGATTATTATAATTTTAGAACATTGAATGAATATTTATTCAATACACATGTTTTTTTAAAAATCAGACATGTTCAGTGCTATATATCTTATTTGTTGTAGTAATTTGTAGAGTGTTTGTCGCGCTAATTTGTCTAAATCTTTTACCATTGCCTTTACATTGTGCATGGAACAAAACTATTTAACAAACTTTTAATTATCAATCTATTAATGCATGATAACATTATAAAGAGTATTCATGTCAACATTCTTTTTTCTGACATTAACAAGGTCCAATGTGCGTCAGTAATTAAAACTTTGGTTTTCGTACTTATAGTATAATACAAATCAGTGTCATACATTATTTACACAATAATTTGTATTGAATTCAGCCTACAATATGACAAGTCGACAATCCTTTTTATAAAAGATTATATACCCGCATTCGTAATCCTATACAAGCATAATTTCCTTCATGTTTTAAAGTGTGTTAATTCGTTTATAAAAGACTGGACTTTCAAACTTTATGGTAATTTGTTGTCTATTTTATATTGTGCTTATGGGTAGGTTTTTTGTTATAATTTGATCGTTGATTCAAATCCGTATCTGTTAATATAACTGGTCATGTTATTTTTCTTGGTGTTATATTTAAATTGAACAGTTATTCATTTTTGCTTAAGTTCTTTGTCTGTAGAGTGTATATATGCCATTTTGTTTTTCTTTGTTGACATAGTTGTTTCTTTTATAGTGATTAAGATGATAACACAATGTTGACTGCTGTAACCAAAGTTTTGACATTTTCACCTATTATGTCTGTTTGTTTTGCTCACACATTGATTTCGATATAATGGAATGTTGTACAAGTGAGAGGTTTAGCTAGTTATAAAATAGGTTTAATCCACCATTTTCTACATGATAAATTTGTCTGTACCAAGTCAGAAATATGACAGTTGTTTTCCATTCGTTTGATATGTTTGAGCTTTTGATTTTGCCATTTGAAAAGGGTCGTTCCATTTTGAATTTTCCTTGGAGTTCTGTATTTTTGTTATTCTACTTTTTACATGTATTAATACGGAACCGCATGAATTAAGGAGACAGATGTTAACGGATGCTCTAATCTAAAATATCGATTACGAAGAGACAAAGCAAGTATCAAACAAATTATGAGGTACTTGCATTAACTCCGAATGTAGCGAGACCAAGTGAATGGACAGGTTAAGCGTCTCTTGATATGAATGCATCGCCCGCTATGCAAGTCCCCATTCTGTCAAAATGTCACAATCAGGAAAAAAAACACAATCATTCTGGTATCAGAAGATATAAGACCAAGAAAACATTTCGGTAGTGATTTGAGACACCGACACATCGTAT